TTTGAAATTGCTGGTGATTTATTTGATGATAAAACTGTAAACTCTGTATTTCTGATTATTTCAAAAAGTTAGTGACAAATAAATATTGTTGTGTGTTAGTTTGCATTTCTGGAGGTTTTCGATTATTCAATAATTTTTTCTTCACAGGTGCTGAAAGCAAGCTGAAGGGTGAAGAAATTCGCCAATGTGCAGTATCAGAAGCGATAAAAATTTTAGAGGCTGATATTAGCAATACGACTAAAAACCTAATTTCATGGGCTCTTCGGGTTGAATATTTTTATTATCTTATCAGATTATTCTATATTCCATCTAAATTTATTATGGACTTTACTTTTTTTAAGATATTAGGAGAATTTGCGGAATATACTGAACTTCAAGGAAATGTACATAATAAATTATGTGATTTATTAACACAAGGTAAGAATAATGAAGTGTTAAAGTCTGAAAGTTAAAATAAAAATCAATTAATGACGATCATAATTAACTTTCTTTAGTTGATTATGAAATTCAGGCCCAAATAATTACTACACTATTAAAATTTGTCTCAAAGATGAAACATTGTCCTAATAATATAATAGAATGTGTAGCAAAATGCTGTCAATCATCATCTGGAGATGTAAAACAGGCAAGTAACATATGACTTCTTTATTTTATATTATTATGACTATATAACATTGAAATGAATTGGACATTATAGAGAAGCCGTGAGTTTATAATTTTATCAAAGGACTTCGTACTTTTGGACAAAATTATAAAATCTTGCGAGAATCTTGATGACTTTACAGTGCGTATACTTAATGATTTCTGTCTTTACAACATTGCTAAAAGCATCGGTAAAAGATTCATTTTTGTTTACAAAAGGTTGATGAATCATTATCCTTTCTTGATGATTTCGTCGAGGATGCATTGAAAAATGGTGCAAAGCCATATAATCGAATACCAATTTCTCGTGAAGACACAATTGCAGGTAGGAAAATAAAAAAAGTTAATACGATTTAATACAATTAACCTTTTCTTATACATTTTTTATCAATAGCAACGGAAATTCGTTATGAAGCTTATGAAAAACCCAACTTGCCATCTTTTCCTAAACAAATGACAACCAGTTTGCCAACCTACACCGATACTAGGTTATCAGCAACTGATAGAAGTATGTTATTGTTTGATGATCGAAGTAATCAGAATAATCGAGGTGTAGGCCCTCCAGTTACTCCTGGTCAGCTAGCTTGGTTTGGAGTTACACAAGAAAATGTATCATCAGAGAACGTGTATGAGCATACAAGTTTGCTGACAACCCCCCAAGAACCTAATTATAGAGATTATGAAGAAATCGATTCAAAGTACTTTACATTGCCAATTATTCTTATTATATGAGCTAGGTGCTAAAAAAAGGGACCAAATCAACAATTTTTTCAAAAAATGTTTTGAACTTAACCATTTTTCTAAATGCTGCTGTATTAATAAAATTTACAGTGTAGTCTTTTAATATAAAGTCAAATTCCTGCAAAACATATTTTTATTAATTTGGTCCTTTTTCTCAGCATCTAGCCCATATATCACATTATATAATTGATATAATTATTAAATTAAATTCATTCAGACGCCAGTCAATGGCATCACCATTACCAAAAGCGAAGCTACAGCCAAGTACACAAAGCTGGAGTCGTGCTGGGTATAAGCCAATTCATAACACAGAAAGGTATAACTAGCTTGTCTTATTCAATATTTACCGTAAAGTGCAAACCGATGTATCCGGATATTTACAAAGATTGATGATATGCCCAGGATATATTTTCCATTAGTCTTTGCCAATCTTCAATTTTTTATAGCACCTGGCTATTCTCCAACACGTAATGTTACTATTTTTATAGTATGTATACTATTCGGATATAAATCAAGTCAGCACTTTATGGTAATCCAATTACATAATGGATTTTCAATACGTAAATTCATAAATCTCCGTCTTCTTTACCAACCTTACAGTGATAAGTATGTTTGTTGTTTATTTATTTATTTTTTTAATCTACTTTTTGTAATCAAAATACTATGCTTTGCTGAAAGGTTAACAAAATACAACATAAGTAATGTTCATTCATCCTTGCGACCTTCAGATAAGGTAGTTGTTTCTTAACATCTCCCAATAATCAACTGAAACTATTTTCTTAGTCGCAACACTTACTTACTTTCACTTTGTTATTATTAACATATTTAGGTACTATCTACCACATCGGCAACTCCAAAAGCAACAATGACACCAGAAAAAGAGAGACTAGCTTCTGCTTTGTTTAGTGGTGTGGGTGGGAACTAGAGCTTAGAACCGGGTTATAGTAAACCGGGTCACCCGTGTCAAAACGGTTCAACCGGGTCAAAAATTTACAACTCGGGTCAAAACGGTTGAATATGTAACCTCTAAAAATCTGTTACTATTACACAGAAAACATAATACATTATTATTACATTGTGAATAAACACCCTTTTTTTCTCTTACTAATTTATCTAAATATTTAAAAAAAGGTACAAACTTTTGGAGGCTACTATACGGACTAT